GGGTAATTAAAACCCACGTTACTGTTGCGCTATCCCGTGTGTTGCATCAGTACCCGGCACGGTGTGAGCTTAGCGTCCCGGTGAGAAATGCAGACTGTGCCTGCCCCTTTCCCCTCCCAAAAGTGTGTGGCTGGGGAGGTAGTTGCACGGATGATGAGCGATAGAAAGTACCAGGCCAATGCAGAACGTGTAGGTTGGGCTAAAGGTCCATGGCTTTGTTTGCAAGTTGAACGTAAGATCCACGTTATCCTGGTGTAGCCTTGGAAGGAAACTCTGCTGTCTGGGTGTTTCTCTGGCCCTTTTGCTGACTCTTCCCCCCAGAGCATTCCTGGAGCACTTAGTACATAAGTAAGGGCAGGCTGTTTATGTACTTACAGGTAATCAACAGCTGAGGTGTCAGGGGGGTTGCTGTGCAGTTCCTTACAGCAAATAGGCTGCTTTTACCATTACACTTTTCTTGTCAAACTCAAGGATACTTTGCCTATATGTATTACCTGCAGGCTGTGCTCTCAGTGCATAAGATACACTATTATTAGTTCTGTTGCTCTCTCCAAGTGTTACGCATTTTGAAAGTCCGTGTTCCCGGTAATTTTTCATGAAGTGACTTAAGGCCTGTCTTTACGGCAGAACAGGTTTCAAGCTAAGAGATAGGTCTGAATTACTGTAGGTAAAGCTCCTGTCCTGAGCTGCTGTGTCCAGGAGAGTCAGCTACAGCAGCAGGTAACAGCTGTGGAGCAATGCTGACCAAGCAGCATGTACAGCTCCAGACTTCTCTTGCCATTTTCTCTGGCTGTGTTACTTCAAATGGAGTTCTCCCAAGGATAGGTCACAGCACAGCTAATTTGAGACTTGGCTTTATTTGCAAGTGGTTATATTCTCGTTCAGACGTGGCCTTTAACAGCTGCTTTATCATTGACCTAACTTGGAAGTTAATCAAGCACTAAATCCAGTGTTGTGCTTGATGGTTGTGGGAAACAGGCTTCAGGCTCCCTGGTGACTCCATAGGTCTAGCCTGGGTCACTGGATAGAGCTGAACGTGATCAATTCTACCCCTTGCAGTTCCTGCCTAGTTTTTGCTCCCATTCACAGGACTGTCTCTTCTTAAACCAAACTAAATCGCAATCTTTCTGCTAGAATCTTGTATTTATGATTTTTTTCACCTTTCTTAAAGTAGGACTTTCTTACCCATACTGCTGTGATGCAATGAGAGTGGCCAAGTATCCACATCAGTCAGGGGGAGGGGAAAGAGAGAAGAAATGCAGCAAGAGGTCTTTTTTTCTACATTTTTAGAAATTAAAAATAATTTTAAAAAATTGCAAGCTTTTCCTCTTTTTCATTGACTTTCCTTTTATTGAGATGTCCTTTGAAGTTAACTAAAAACAACAACAAAAAAAATAGGCAAAGCTCCACTCCCAAGATTTTATTATTTCATGGCTTTTAGTGGTGACAGAAACTTAGTACCAGGACACTGTAACTTTTAAAAATTACCAGAAAAGCCTTTTGTGAATCTTGAACTCTTACCAAAGTAGAGGAAAAAATAGGAAGATCGTTGCAGAAAATCAGGCTTCCCAACCACTGTCTACTAGAAGGTTGGGAATTTACATTCCCCATGATTATTGGTATAACAAGAGTAAGGTTTCATGTAAGACTTATTTTTACTTCAAATGGAGTTCTCCCAAGGATAGGTCACAGCACAGCTAATTTGAGACTTGGCTTTATTTGCAAGTGGTTATATTCTCGTTCAGACGTGGCCTTTAACAGCTGCTTTATCATTGACCTAACTTGGAAGTTAATCAAGCACTAAATCCAGTGTTGTGCTTGATGGTTGTGGGAAACAGGCTTCAGGCTCCCTGGTGACTCCATAGGTCTAGCCTGGGTCACTGGATAGAGCTGAACGTGATCAATTCTACCCCTTGCAGTTCCTGCCTAGTTTTTGCTCCCATTCACAGGACTGTCTCTTCTTAAACCAAACTAAATCACAATCTTTCTGCTAGAATCTTGTATTTATGATTTTTTTCACCTTTCTTAAAGTAGGACTTTCTTACCCATACTGCTGTGATGCAATGAGAGTGGCCAAGTATCCACATCAGTCAGGGGGAGGGGAAAGAGAGAAGAAATGCAGCAAGAGGTCTTTTTTTCTACATTTTTAGAAATTAAAAATAATTTTAAAAAATTGCAAGCTTTTCCTCTTTTTCATTGACTTTCCTTTTATTGAGATGTCCTTTGAAGTTAACTAAAAACAACAACAAAAAAAATAGGCAAAGCTCCACTCCCAAGATTTTATTATTTCATGGCTTTTAGTGGTGACAGAAACTTAGTACCAGGACACTGTAACTTTTAAAAATTACCAGAAAAGCCTTTTGTGAATCTTGAACTCTTACCAAAGTAGAGGAAAAAATAGGAAGATCGTTGTAGAAAATCAGGCTTCCCAACCACTGTCTACTAGAAGGTTGGGAATTTACATTCCCCATGATTATTGGTATAACAAGAGTAAGGTTTCATGTAAGACTTATTTGCTCAAGAATCGAGATCACACCAATAGAAGTTTTTGTTTTCTCTGATTGATGAGATAGATGAATTGCAAATCCTCAGGCGGAGGAGAAGCAAAGTAAGATGTTGTGTACTTGTCAATGATTAAATTAGGTTTGATGTATTGAAGTAGTTTTACTTTGATTCACACTAGTTCAAATGTATATAAAAAAATGAAGTTAAGGTTATTTCTGAAAGTGTTTACCTTTTTTTTGGATTCAATTCTAGGAATTTTAGCATCCATCTCTAGGCAATAGCTCCATATAAGCATATGAGGAATTTTCCTAAGCAGAATTTAAAAAACTGTATTCAGGCAATGTTGTCTACATAATCAAATGACTGAATTAAGTAGGAGCCAAGGCATTTTGTCCTTAAGGTATTTTATCTGGATTTTTCATAAAGGAAAAAGCATCAGAAGAGCCAGGTTTATGAAATTTAATGTGAAAGTTAATGGCTTTTCTTTCTCAATCGGTGGTACTGTCAGATGGTCATGAGTATCAAATACCTTTTTAAATAACTGAGAAGGATAATGTATTAGCTGACTGAAGTGGAATGGAAGCTAGAATTGAAAGCATATGCCCAAGATGTTTTTTTGGACAGACCTGAAAACCCACAGTATTTATAAATAAATAAGTAAATTTTCTTATTCTCCCCATTCCACCACATATGGCTTTTCTGATGAGAGGGCTTTGACTGTTTGGTTCAGAAATTAACAGCATCTTTTACAAGGCAATCTTTGCCTCCATGAAGGCACATGGAATGGGATCTAAACACACTCTGCTCCATTAAAATGCATGGGTATAAGATTAGAAAACCTTTCACCAGCTACTGGAAATGTCAAATCAGGTATGAAGTTAGTTATCAGTATGCTTTAAGTCCTAGGTAACTTAAACCTATTTTTGATTTGCAGAGGTAGTTAGTATTCTCTCTTGCAGCAAGATCACTGGGTTGCACCAGAGTCAACAGGCCACTTAGAGCCATTAAAGCTTGCTGTAGATAGCTAAATATTTCCTCATTTTATGCCTCTAGAGTTAAAGACATTTCATTGATGTAAATGTGGTTTTAGGGGTTAGCAATATGCAATATCATATGCTTGCTCTGCTGTTGTTTCCCCCCATGTCATCCACTTGTTTCTGCCTGATATCACTTATTCTGCTATGAATCACTATGACTGCTCTTATCTTGCATTCTTATGTACTTGACTTTGCAGAACAAGCTGGGCAGCAATAACCCTCTGCTTGGGACAGTGTTTAATTTTTATTTTTTGCAGGTGTCAGATATTCATATCAGTAGATTTCAGGATCCCAAACGAACTTCTGACTTTGAAAAATTCTGTTCTGAAACAATTGATATAATTCAGCCAGTACTTGTTCTAGCAACAGGTAAGCAGTTCAGAAGTGTGAATTTTCTGTTCATTGTGCTCTCAAAGGAAGAGCAAATAAGCAAAAGTAGGATCTCAAGAGAGAATTGGAAAAACTTAAGGTAACTTAAGAGATAAAAACGGAATTGCAGCTGAAGATTGACTGCTAGAAGCAGAAGATAAGAATGTCTCAACTCGAGAGAATTGATTTTTGTTCAATGTCTTGAGTCTTACAGTGAGTTTAGTGTGTATTATACATGACAAAGATATAATAATGCAATATAGCTATTTTTTTCCCAATACACTACATCTTGGTCCTTGCTCTCAGCTACCTTCCCTCTTGTCTTTCTGATAGTCATTCTACATAATTCTTTGTATTTGAAATGACAGAGGTGAACAATGTCTCTGATTAGTCATTAAGAGCCAGTTCCTCTTTCAGAACAATCCTTGCTCATTTGTATGAAATTAATTTATGAATTAATGTCAGATGTCATTGTTGGTTTCCTTTTGAACACATCATATCAAGACAGGTGAGATAAGGCCTGCCATTTCAACTGATGACTTGCTGGTGCTATTGAAATGGATTAAGTTTTGGACAGCAAATCAAAGAAGACTTTGGGCCACTACTATATGCAAGGCTTTAGAATGTTAATGCTAGACCTGGAGTTTTTTTCCTACATTTGCTTATCTGCTGCTTGCTTTTTAGGTTAAAAATTCAGACATAGTTAGCATTAATCTTTTAACTAGCAGTGCAGGGAGGCATTACTGTATGAACAGAAATGGGAATGGTTTGAACTTTTAATTGGAGCTTGAGGAGATACAAAGCTTCTGTGACTAGAATCTTCAGGTATAATGAATGCCTAACAATTTTCTTAAATTTGGTGTGGCATTAGTAAACGTGCTGCAGTGATGTGGTTGATAGATGTTTGAACAAGATGCCACATCTGCATTAGAAGGCATTTACCCTTCTAGTAACCTCTTGGAGCAGATGGCAGGAATGTCCAGATTGCACACAGGAGGCCTGCAGCCACTTGCACAAAGAGGCTTGGATTGCATGTTTGCCTAGTTACAGTATTTGTGTGAGCTGTGTAGGCTCCTAGCTAAATCACACCTTTGTACCCTTCCAGGTGACCTGACAGATGCTAAGACAAGAGATATACTGGGATCTGGACAGATAGAAGTGGAATGGAAAACTTACCAGTCAATCCTGAAGAGATCAAGGGTCATGGAAAAAACCAAGTGGATAGACATCAAAGGAAATCATGGTAAGAAGGAAATTAAACATCTCTTTCTTTCTTGTGATTACAGAGCTGATTTAGGCAAGTTAGACTTTAGAGCTGAAGGGTTACTATCATGTTAGTGGTGGTTATAAGCCAGTAGAAGGGCTTGCCATCCATGTGTCTGCTCTTTCGAGGGCACACTTTGTTTACAGGCAATTACTGGAGTTTTAGTGCCAGAGAAGTAAGAGTCTTCATTTATTGGTTCATTCTACCGCTGGAAAGTGGTAGAACGTAGCTTCAGATGTTAGTTTCCAGATCATTAGTTTATATACCCCATCTTTTAATGGGCAGACTGTAACCTTGCCCTACTGAAGAAATTGTTTCAACTTACTTTTCAGAGACCTCTCCCCACAGCTTTAAGTGAAAAAGTATCACATGTTCAGTAATTAAAGGAAATTTTGGTTTCTTTTGAATAGAAGGAACTCCTGAAGTTTGTACACATCATAGTTGTCCCTATATTCAAGCAATAAAACACAAGCTAAGAACCTTGCAGGCTTTATCAGCCAGCTGTTTCAGGAAGGATAAAACTAGAAAGCCTAACACTGGGAAAAAAGAAGAGCATGCTTTGTCATATACAGCCCATATATGACATTTTACTCCCATTTCCTTACCAGGCTTCTGTTACCAACCTTAATGGAGAGGTGGACCCCAGTTGCAGTACAGAGCTCCCTAAGTTGCTCTCTGTTTTACCCAGGCTATTCTTTGCTGCTATTGCTGCTTTATGTTCCTTGAATAAATTAGGTGTTACTTACAGAGAATGCACCAAATCCAAAAAGCTTCTGTAAATCTTTATGGCCAAAGTGGAGACACATGGTTAGCTTTCAGCCACTAAATGGCAACTTACATTCCCACCATAACTTTATCTTTGAATTTAAACTTAAATGAGAAAGCTATTCCATATTAGGTCAACTGCATCAAGTATATAGTCTTCTGTGGGCAGTTGGGCAGTCTACTTGTCAACTATGCATTTAAAAAAAAGCTCTTCAGTGCCAGCTGAGACTGCTTTATCTAAAAATTTGGAAATAAATACAGATCAATGTACAAATCAATGATCAATATAATCCAAAAGTTTCTTCCTTTTTCTCTCCCATACAGATTCATTCAACATTCCACACCTGGATAGTGTTCAGAATTATTACAGGTACTTTTATTTACTATACAGATGTCATTATATTCAAGGTCAAACTTTTTAAACAATATTTTGTTTTCAGTTATCACATATATGCTTTTTCACTGACTTTTCTATAGTCTGGGATTATATTTACTATTCCCTTTGTCTTTTCTGTTGCCAGTTAGTAGTGCAGAATAGATTGAGAAAATAGATAATTCTTTGTTAGCGATATCTTAAGGGATGAGAGATCATAAGTCTATGCAAAGTAGTGGAGACAAGACTTGATGTCCCTGATATTTCTAGAGAAGCAAGGAAAAATGTTTTTGAAAAATTCTTTAAGGTACCACAATAAACACAAGACAATAGTTTGTTTTTCCTTTGCAGATCTCCTTTAATTAAGAGTGATATAAGATCCTACTGTCCTGTCATCTTGCCTATCTGTTTTGTATTTTATGCTGCTGGCCTATTCTTTATCCATAAAAAACTACCATGTTGCTCATGGAAAGCATATTTATGCTAACATTTTTTTTAAATGTTTGAGCACTAGCCTGCTGCTTGCCTTAACACACAACCCATGTAATGCATCTTCTTTAAAGTACAGACTTATCAATGCCATTGATTTTTAAGAAGAGACTTTATTGCAGTGACAAGATGGAGCTAGAGCTAATGCAAGAAATTTTGCACTTGTACCATGCAGGTAATTTTTGTCTTTGTTGCAAACTTTCCTAACAGCAATATTTCCATTTTATTTGGGCAGGAAATACTCTTCTTGGCATAAAGATGGCTCTTTCCATTACATTCACACCACCTCTTTTGGGAACTATTCATTCATCTGTGTGGATGCCACACTCAACCCAGGCCCTAAGAGACCCTTCAATTTCTTTGGGATTTTAAACACGGTATTTTATAAGTCTTGGCATTCCATGTGGGTTTTTTTTTTGGGGGTGGGGGGGGGGGGGCTTGTTTGGTTGGGTTTTTTCAAAGAATTGTCTGAAAGACTGTTCATCTAAGCGTCTTTACAATTTTATGCATATGGGACATTGAGAAAAATGAATGTTGCTTAATGTAGAGTATCTTAAGACATTTTAAGAACACTGTCAATAGTTTCTAAGCATTTAGCTAGACCTGAAAGATCATTTCCTTATACGCTGTAAAGCTTAAACAAAAATAACAGTCTTTCTAATTTCACTCATTTTTGCTTTGTTAGATGCTTTATTTCATTAAAATTACAGATGAGAGAGTTGCACTTGTCAATGGAGTAATGTGAATGATAATGTTACAGAGAAATGTGTAATTTATCAAAGTGAGATCTGATCTTATGAGACCATAAAAATTATGTGGTATTGTTTTGAAAGAATAACATTAATCCCAATGTTTAAGTCAAATACCAGCTTATATAACATCTTGCTTCCCTTTGATTATTTTTTTTTCTTTGTAGTTTGTTGGTATGATACTACTCTTGAGATACTCTTCTGAAGTGTTGGCAGAGAGTTACTGTGTTGTAAACAGAGGGCTGTGATAATGGCCTCAATGAAAAGTACAATGTTCTCCCTCTAATCTTGTCTAAAGGAGGCTCAACATTAATTAAGTGTTTGTAAAGTGCTTGGTGATACTTAGATGAAGAGTAATGTAGGCGTGACAAGTACTGTCCTCCTTGTTCATTGTAATCTATAGTGGGAGCAGCAGATCTGCAGACAAACTCTCAAGGAGCTAAGAAGTGCAGTTGAGTCTAGAGCTCTTGTCCTTGGCTTCAGTAAGTCAAGCATTTGCTTGCAAATTACCCAGCAGCAGGAGTCCAGAGAGCATCATCTGTAGATTTTTGTACAAAAGTGATGGTAGAAGTAGATACCTGTAACTTTGTTAAGAACTAAACTTCTGCCAGGAGTTTGAAAAATAAATTAATTTGTATCCATAATTTGATTTGTGTATCTTAGGTAAAAATATACTTAAAGCCCAAATACATAAAGGCAAAGGAAATATAATTTCACTTAATAAACATATTACCTGATACTGAATCCATTTTTCTGTTAATTACCTTTATTTCTGTTTCCTTTATTCATGCCCTTCAGTGTTTCTTTAGAAGTTGGAGGGAAAAGCATATGTTGGTTGATTTAATATTGGAAGTCAAACAAGTAAAGGAGAGAAATGTTACCTGCTGTGTAAAGAGTAGTATTTTCAAGACTCAGCATCATAGTTCATCCAGTGAAATGACTGATACATACAGTACGCAGTTCCTGTGGTCTGTTATGCCCATAAAAGGCCACCTAGCAACTCAAGAGATAGTAGGGAGAATAATTGTAAGGTAAAGGATGTCTTAAAAGCAACTCAAGCCTGTCATCTTTGACAATATAAATGAGCAATAGAAAGGATTGCAATATAATTTAGCAACATTTATCTTTATATTGCACTTTTCCTGTGTTCAGTCACAAGGAAGGTGTTTAGTGCCTTGTTTTCACTTCCTTTTTCTAACACTGGATTTTAGGGAGATGCCTAGTGGTACAGTTTGTTCATGCACAGGTCTCTGAAGCAACTGAGAGTATTCTCTGTTAAAAAGGATGAATTACATTCTTTGTTAGTTTCTTTCTGCTTTCCTTTTGCTGTTCTTTTGAAATAGCTTCAACATTTAACAGATTTGTTTCTTTGTCTTTCAAACACCTGTCCATTTCAGAATCATATGGAAGAGCTGTCTTTGATGGCAACAGAAAGTCTGCACAGCAATCATACTATCTGGTTTGGCCATTTTCCCACCTCAACAATCATCTCCCCAGCCCCAGGAATACGAACATTAATGAGGTAAGATCTTTCTCTGTTTTTTTTCCTCTGTTTTTTGAATCTGAAGTACTTTTCTTGCCTCTTTTCATGCTTGTCTGCCACTTCTTAGGGTTTCTGCAGTGGTATTTCCTTCCAACCCCAAATAATTACAATTCTTACGCTCTTTTATTAGTTCTGCCACAGCCTATTTATGTGGCCATCTCCATACATTGGGTGGGCTGATGCCAGCCTTGCACAGTCAACACCGTGGTGGCACTCTGGAACTTGAACTGGGAGACTGGAAGGATAATAGGAAGTAAGTAAGCTCTATGTGAACAAATTATTATATGGAGCCTACCTTTTAATGCTTTTTGGATAATTTGAAAGAAGTATTAGATCTTCCTGACTGCTTATTACTATTAATGCTTTTGAAAAATGTCTCTGTGTGTAAGTTTGGGATTTTTTTCCCTATACCAACAGTGTGCTAATAAAGAAAGTTTTTTTTTATTCATTCTTGATATTCAGAAATTAAAGAAGACTCCTAAACGTCTATTTAGTATATGTTTCAACATACGCTAAATTCAACATCACTACTTCACTGCTTCACAGCATCACTGCCCATGCTCTGCACCAGCTGTTAGAGTTTTAGAGACAAAAATAATCTACCTGAGAAATGTTACCTAAGCAGCATAGGAAAGAGAGTCCGATGCTACATGGATTGTTTACTACTATATTAGCTTTTATTCTTCAGTATTCCTAAGAAAGATACTTGTTTCCATACAGGAAGAGAGCACTCTGGGGTCTTTGTCCCTAACTAGAGTACCTACCCAGACACTGCAGTAATGTACATTGTATTTGATTTGTTTTAGCATAATGTTCATCTATCTGATTCATGTGTAGAATTCAGTAGATCTTGATTTTTGGAATTTTGAGTGGTGTTTTGGTGATTTTTATTGAACCAAATGAACCTGATCAGAGGTTACCAGCTCTACAGTTAATACAGTAGAGTTGGCTGATACAGGATCAACTACGGAGAGAATAAATGGAAAATAAATCAATCAGGTTCTGTTTAGGAACTTGAGAAGCATGGGAACCAGCTGTCATGCAGTAGTTGATACCAGCAACATTTTTTTCCTGTCACTGCAGGTACCGGATCCTTGCATTTGATCATGACCTCCTGAGCTTTGCAGACCTTAACTTTGAAGAATGGCCTGTAGTTCTCATTACCAATCCCAAATCCTTCCTTTACAGCAGTTCTGCTCATGAGCCACTAGTGAAAATTCTTTATTCCACTCATATCAGGTACCCTGTAATCTCTTAATTTCACAATATTTAACTATATTTTAATAGTTGGGGCCTTCCTTGGTTATAATGTACATCTGTATTTTATATGGACATACACAAAGACTTATTTTTAAATGTGTTTGTCCACTGTTCTCAGAATTCACTTTTATCTGGAAGATTGTTCCTGAGAGATCACTTTATATCGTATCTGTGATAAAAGGAGATTATATAGTAGTAATTCATGTTTGTTTTATTTATGCAGTCATTTTACCTAAAGTCAATTTAATATTTTATATAACCAAAGCTGGCAGAGTTAGATTAACATGTAATCTGTGTTATTGATCACACACGTTCATGTTGCTTCTGCTGATTGCAGGATTTTGTCTATGTATTTTCTAAGTGTTTTCTCTATATTCTTTGGACTCCTTAGTCTCTTGTGTTTTCAGTTTTACATCCCTTGTGTTAAAACATCTTAAGCTTCTGCTAATTTTCACATGTATTTTAAATCTCTCCATGTTTCCATTTCTGCTTTTTCTAATTTTTTCTTCTCATTTGTATTTCAAATTTCTGTGTCCTTTCCAGTATCTTAGATTTGCTGTTAGACCAATATGCCTTAAATATATGAGTATATTGCATACATGCAATTGCAATGAAACGAAGTTTGTCACACTTTTCAGTTCATAAGCAGTGTCCAACTAAGTCCACCTGCTTTTCCATTTCCTATTTGGAACCTTATCTGAACATGCTTATTATTATATTAAATATATGAACTGCTAGAATCATTCACTGTAACTATATGAGACTCCTTTATTTGACTGAAACACGGTCTGGAATGTGCTTTGTATTACCAGAAAAGAAAGACATTGTATGTGCAATATATTGAGTATCTCGTTTTCACTGCCAAGTGATACTAGATTTGTTGGTATCTTAGATCTGTAAAACCAGTCTTGCAGTCCACTCCATTTCTCATAACCTCTCAGACTTTGCAACAGATCTTTTATATTCTGACTAGCAAAAAGATAAAGAAGAACAACAACAAAAAAACCCAAAAACCCAAATAACAAACAAAAAATATCAAACCAAGTAACAACAGAAGAAAAATAAAATGTTGCATCCAACAACAAAGGACTTCAGAGACTCTGGTGGCAATTTTTAATTAAGACATTAACAAGCATTTGATTATGCATGTGTATGTAATGATCACACTTGTGTTAGGAAATGTTTTGACAGGAAGAGTTGAACAGCCTGTTTTTCTATCCTATTCTGCATATATCATACAGAACTTCTCTTTTTAACTGTAGGAAAGAGCTACCCTGTTATCATTGGCCTACAGATATTTCACTGTTTTAATTTCTGAACTCCCAACTACGAGGGTGCATAGTCTTTAGGGACTTCTCTTCAGGAAGTAATAAGAAATCTGCAAGTCCTGTAACAAAGCTGCTTATTTTGTTGTTTATTCACTCCTTAGAATTCTGGCCTTCTCTCCTTCTGTCATTACCTCTGTCAAAGTCTATATAGACACAGTTCACTTGGGGAATGCACATCAGGTGTCTGGCCCGCTCTATGTACTGAGGTGGAGCCCGCAAAACTACAGTCAAGGGTTCCATCACATAGATGTGACTGTCCAGGTAAGGTACCTCTTGGCATTCTTTGTATTGAATTTTTATTGTTTCATGTCTGCTTCATCACCCTTCTGCATGATACAGATTTCCTTTCATATTTATCTGATTACAAAAAACAAAGGATTTATTAAATGAAAAGACCACTGACTGCTAAGCACTAAAACATTCATAAAGCATCTGGAAAAAAGAAAAGGTTCTTGGTATTCATGAGAAATACAGTAAGACATGGCAGAAGAGCAAGCAGTTGGTCAAAATCAATAATTCTGTCTAACACACAACAATTATCTTTTAAAATTGTCTTGGAAAAAATAATTGGGCTTGATAAAGGAAAATAGGAAATAGCATCATGTTAGTTAAAAAGGCAAAAGAACTGGATCTGGAAAGTAATGCTATCTTTGATTATCTATTTGAAGCTCTTTTCATGATCTCTTTTAGACTGACAGTGAATACAGTTTCTGTTTGCTAGAACATCAGAACTAACTGATATTAGATTAGTGGGTGAAAAAATATTTTTCAGTGACTGCTTCTGTTCTCGGTACTGTCTTTTATCTTTGTACCTTCAAGTGGCCTTCAAAGAACTTGATCAGATTGTTCTAGCGTTATGCTCATTTGCACAATAGGAATGGGAAATTCAGCTTTGTCCTGCTTGGTGGAACCCAGCTAGGCATTATTTCTCACAGGACAAGAGCAATAGTGCATTTTTTCTAATGGCCTTTCTATAGTACCAGTGTTCTACCTCCTCACTCATTACACGTTTCCGTGATGCTTTACTTGAGAAAGCTGCATTTTATAAGTTTTTGACTTTTTTTTTTTTTTCAATGATGTTGAAAGCCTGTGCACAAAACTGAGTAACATTTGAAGAGGGTTATACAGGCTTGCATAGCAATAGTTTGTTTGCAAATACATGCTTGTTATCAGATAACTCAATGGGAGTTTTAAAAAATTAATTTCTTTTCCCTTCAGTCATAAATCACTATTACGTCTAGTAACTGAATTGTTTGGGAAAATGGAGGAGGAAGAAGCATTAGCTTGATTTAGGTACCTGGAGAAAATGTGAATACTCAATTGCTGTACATTCTTTCTGGGATTGTTCAAATACTGTCTCAGCTGTAATCACACTAAACATACTGCATCCTTTACTATAAATAAACCATTTATTATGTACTGAGAGTGTTAGACATGCAGAAATATTGAACTGTTGAATAAATGTAAGACTGTTATTATCAGTATCAGTTTCTAGCAAATACACCAGAAAAGAGTCTGCACAACAAAGCCTCAGAATATCTTAAGATGGGCTACTATCTAAAAGTGAGCTTTCAGAAAACAAGTTGTGGTGGTGGCCAGTAAATACTCATTGTTTTCCACAACTTGCTGAATCTCTGAAAGGATCTGCTTCAAATGTAGCCCTTCCAGATTACGATCTCACGATCGACAATTTGCTTGAAACTAAAAGTTGACAATAAATAATTATTTGTAGGTGGAAGTATTTGATATAGGAGTATGCCAGACATGTGTGCATCAACTAAATCTTTCCAGAAAAGCTGCAATGGTAATTAGAAACTTTAACTAGATATTTTGTGCACTACTGATACCTAACTGCTCTCTTACTTCATATCAATCTAGGATACTTCAGGAAGAACCAGTACGCAAAGTCACGTATTTGCTTTGGATGAAAACTTGTCTCTTAGATTTAGCTTTTGGCCATCTGTTATTCTTCTTACTGACCACTATGTTCTAGTAAGTACTTTCAGCAAAACAGCTGTCATTCTCTCTTGGTTTCCCCAGAGACTGCAGGAGACATTTTCACAATTCCCAGTGGAACTGAATGTGCTTTTTCCAGATATGACTCTATTGGAATTTCGCAGATATTTCATGTTTCCTTTCTGAAGTTGCATGCTTCAAATGTGAGTGCAGCAAGGGTTAATGAAAACAATTGACTTCTTGGATTTAGTCACAATTGTCCATTTTTCAGCATAGCTATACACATATTTTGTGCAAGCAAGAAATGGAAAAGAAGCTACAGGAGATAGTAAAAAAAGCAAACATTAACTCAAAGAAAACTTCCTTCTGATCTGCTGCAATATGTGTACTGGCAAGAATGCTGGAAGAAGTCTCAAATCAGCTACTGACATTACAACTAGCTCTAGCAAAGAGGGAGGCAAAATTCCCATTGACTTCAGTAAGTTCCGGGTCCTATCCAGAAGTGTTACAGCTCAGTGCAAGCAAAGAAGGCATGTCATATTTGTTTAGGTGCACTTATAGAACAATGGAGGAAAGTCCACATGGGTGTATCATAACTGGCTCAAAGTTTTGTTAATCAGTAACTGATATTCTCCACAGTGTCTTGAACTCAGGACTATTCAGTACAGCACTCAGATAATGTTTTACAAAGGAATTGTGTTTACACTTTTTCAGTGGATGTGTCTTACAAACCCCAATCTTGGAAGATGGAGATCTATCACTTTCAGCCATACAACTGAATTAAAGTCAGTAAGATTCAAGTCAGATAACTCAGAAACTCTTTGAGTTTCTGTTTTACTCTTCAGTTCAATGATGACATCAAGCTCTGAGTACGATTCAGATAGAAATCTCTGTAATTTTATCAGTGTCCATGAGGCTCAAAGGCAGTTACTGCTCCAGGGCTGGCTCAGAGTTAAAACTGTCTTTTCAGGCTCGTGTGCTCTTTGGACTGATTGTGCTGATTCAGATTGCCTTGCTCATTATTTTCAGATACCTCCAAAAACCAGCACTCAAAGGTATGAACCAATGTTTGTCTGTAGTTTTTAGAGGATTCGAATTTCCCTAAGCTTTTTTTTACTATTTTTATGCTAACAATATAAAAATAATTGCACTGTTCATCACCATATGCATTTTGCATCTAGTACTGTAGGATTTCATTTGGTTCTCAGAATCATCTGTTTTGGTTTTAAGGGGACCCAGAAAACCTCCAATATATCAAAACAAAGTGAATTAAAACAAACAAAAAAAAATTGGTATCTTTGTTTAAATAAAAATTCAGTTAATTGAAGTCTAAAAGTTTCATTTTTATTTTCTCACTGGAGTATCCAATCCATGGGGAAAGTAATGTTTTGTTTTGTTTTAATTCTGTGTGTGTGCTTGTTTCACTACGGCCCACACAGAATTCTCTGTCACCTGAGTGGAGAAGCAGATTTCCTTCTACAAAAAAGAATTTTTGTTAATCTTTGCAAGTAGCTTAACAAGCTTGGTTCTTCTCAAAATAATATTAATACCAGTTCTGTCATAACATGGTATTTTGTTTGTGATAAATCTGTTAAATGCAAATTAATACTATTAAGCTCATAGTGTTTATCCTTTAAACAATTGTTTGAACCACACCTTACTAAGGAGATTTTCCTGGACGCCACCTCCCTTCCTATTCATGTCTGTTTATGTCCCCTCCTTTATACTCATAATCACGTAGCATCTTGAGGTAACTACAGCAAGTGCTTACATAGAAAAATAATAGATTTTTCAGTTGTCTTTATGGAACTGAACAGCTGAAAATGAAAAGAGCTGGTAGTACCCTGTGATCAGCTTGGTCTCTGTAGACCACAACAAATATTTTACAAATCAGTGAACAAATTTGATAGTGCTGTCGATTTCCAAAGGTCAGATTTTCCCTCTGGGAGCTAATGCTTTGTGAGAAAGGCAGCCACGTAATAAGTGAAACTCTAAAAGCTGACTCTTAAAGTTCTCTCAATCTATGAATTATCTGCTTCAGTTAGAAAATTAATATTGCTTTATATATATATATATAAAAATATAAAAATATATATACATATAAATATATGCCATCACACACTTGTCAGAAGGCTGCCGTTTTAACACCTAACCTTCATTTTACCTGAGTTGCTATCAGATCTCAACAAGCAGATTTAATCAAGACAATCCAGTTAATCTAGTGCATGCTGCCCTGACTTTTCAGGTTTGCAGTTACTCTTTTGAATCTCTTACTTTTCAATTAATGTGAACTTTTTCCATGTTTTTCATTCTAGCTAACTTCATTTTCTGGGTATAGAATGGTCATTCAGTTTTATTTACATACAGTAAGTGTATTCATTTAGAATGGCAGCCTTTTCCTGCTGTTTTAACATAGATTGTTCTTTGCAGTTCCTTACTTTCAGTTGTCACAGTAATAGTAGAAATGCATTCCCTTGCATTTGTTCTGTAGACATAACAAATTATTTTTATATGTGTTTAATAGAATGAGTAAATAATGTGCAGATTTGTTTTCGAAAGACCAGTGTATATGTGTGTATATGTGTGTTTGTGTGTGGTGCAACCTAAATCAAGTGTATTTTTCTTAAATGTTGTCTCTTTTTAGAAAAGCCAGGATTACTTACTCTGACCTCATATTCCCTTCATGTCTTCAGTAAAATAAACACCTTCTATTACTCAATTCTGGTTCTGAATTTATACACCATTTTGGGTAAGTAACCTAGAGTATGGGAGGACATTAATTAGTATTTTTAAATTACACATTAGATGTTGATGAAAAATGAGATGTCTAACATCTTGGAGAACAGGGAAAATCTACTCAAGCTAGAAAATCTATGTGGAACTTGAAAAGTTAATATCCAAACAGACTAAAGGTTTGTTTGTAACAGCTGAACTTAGAAGCCCTAGAACTAATTAAACATTTACATTTTTTTAATTGCTTGGAAAGCAAAGTGAGTATTTTTTAATTTAATTTTGTTTTCACTTATTCTTTGAGTAAGATCTGAATGTATCGTGGTGTAAAATGAATATATGGAATGTACATTTCACATGACATCACCAAGATGTCTCGGCTCTGATGACAACAATTTTAGGTTATTTCTCCTCTGATCATACATTACTAAAATAGCTACTTTCTTGGCAGTCAGTGTAGCATGTATTGTTTATGATTGTATCTTTCATATGACTTAACGTAATTCTGGGAAAAGGCCAGCATTTGAAAGGATCCATCTTTTCACTTTTATAATAAGGAAAATGTTATATTTGGCATTGGAAATTATCATGGAGATAAAACCAACTTACAAGTATTTTCATTGCATGCCACAGCTCATTGGAGTACCATGAACAGCGTTCATCCGGTTGCTGTTTGTTGAAGGTGAAAACATTAGGCTCATTACTATAGACAAACAGAGGTCATTTTCCCCAGTTAACGACTTTGTGCTCAGAAGTACAAAGGGCCATGTGAAAAAGGGCCATCTCTATACTGTATTTTCTGATGGTGCTGTGTGTTTCGTTTCCTCTCTTTCAGGACCATGGTTTATAGGTGAACTGATAGATGGCCACGTGGGGGCCTGTTTTTCCTTTGGAGTGTTTGTTGGTGGTTCCTTCTTACACGGGGGTCTGACATTTGTGGTTGGAATTTTACAGGTACATAGTTATAAAAATTAAGGTTCACAAACTGCCTTCTTCTGGGAATTTCTTTTGACTATTTTTTTTATAGTTTTATACAGAAAGGAGCCTTGGAAGGATAGGGAAGAATAGTAGCCATGCCTAACTATAACAGATATTTCTTACATTTCTGCAAATTGAAATAGCAGAAAGGAAGGAGGTTGTCCATTATTTTCTGAAACTTCTCTTCCTCTGATGTTGCTTTGGACTCCCTAGATGTCTGGATTAGAGGCCATCTCTTAAATATTTACCACTGGTTTTTTGTTGGTTTTTTTTTCCTTGACTCAGGCATAGGTTGCAGTGATTAAGGAAAAGGAACTGAATGGCCAGGGCAGCCCTTGTACACTGACTAACTCTTCAGATCAGTAGGTGCCCCTCTCTAAGCACACAGGGTCCAGTTTTCCAGCAGTCTGACCTGGCTGCCCTCTGGTTTTCTCAGCTGCTGTTAGTCTGAAGGAGAAGGTGTAGTTCCTTGGCATTTAAGACAGACCAAGCTAGTGTTGCCTCCATCATGGTCCCTCCCTTTTGTCTGACACCACAGTGGGCAGGTCAGGGAGCTAAACTGACATAAGCACCTTCCTTTTTTACTGTGCTAGTATTTTGCCAAGTCTAGCTGCCTGAACGAGCCCCAAGAAAGGTTAGATGCATGTCAGTGCCTCCCACTGTAAGGCAGTGGGCAGGAAT